GTCAATTGTCTATACCAAGAACAATAGCTCTCTGCTTTGTCGGTTTCAACAACTAAGACTTGCTTGTCTTAGAATGATTCCAAATCGAGCAACTATCAAGAGCCTATCTAATAGAATCTTGAGTACGTTCTTGTCGATATGACATTGCTAAAGATGTTTGGAACGCAAATCAAGCCCATGACTTGAACTTAGTGAGTTAATCATGTTAGGAAAATGTTTGTTTATAATCAAGCATTCTTGACTCAACGCTTGGATAACCATGCCATTCAAATAAATCTCGCAACTATTGCTCATTACTTTTAATGTGAGTCTTTCCATGTGTAAACGGATCAATTGCTGATTATGGAACATAATAACCATTATTTGTTCCAGCCTTTGGCTTAAAAGGTCTTTAAACAAAACATACGACCTTATAACTGATGTAGCTCTTCTTGCTTCATTCTAAGCTTGTAAGTCGATAACTTAGCTTAACTTCAATAGTTTGAGGTCACTATCATAGTGGAACACTCAATCAGTATCCGATACTTGTGAAGATAACGAATTGCTAAGTTAACTACAATAACATGAACTCATGAGTTGAAATGGAATCTAATTCCTTTTCTTTGTTCCTTCTTTCCTATATTTCTTATCATACAATATCTCATAATCTTACTTTAAGAATTATTTCTTTAAGTACCTTGACTCTTATACTTTGTTAGGCATAATCAAGCACCTAGTGCGCCGTAAAACAAAGTTCCATCTTTTCCATTAATTCTTACTCGAATTACTACATCAATGAGTCCTACTCAATTATGTATGACGCGAAAAGATACATTGGTTGTCAAACATTGACAATCTTGAGTTTGCAACTAAATACCTCATGTTTATCAAAACTACCTAGTATTTTGAATACATGATGTCCAACCGTCCTTTCGGACTTAGTTATAAAAGTCATTTATGATAATTGTATTTTAGAAATGCTTTTCCTGTCTTTGAGAACTATTCTCAAGGATTTCCTTTACCAATCATGGAAACAATATTATTTAATTTAGAATACTATAAATATAAGTGAAAAGTATAACCATTTATCAAGAACATAATAAGTTTGAAATTTAATAGCATTCATGAAAACTTCAATCTTATTAAACGCCTTATTTACGCATAAAAATTGTCCCTATTTGGCAAAAATAAGGCGATTCCAAGATCCGAAGAAACAAAGAGTGGTTAAGCATGTTTTGGCTTGTCTTAACACTCAATATTCTAAGGTAAGCATTGCCTTGCTAATGGCTCTAAGCCACTCTTGGTTAGATAATCGTCGCATCTAATGCATCTTTGACAATGTATCTCTTTTGCCACGGTATGTGAGGACTCCTCACTCATACCGATGAGTTCAACCAAAACCAACATGCACACCCGGTGTGCCTTATGAGCCTTGGAGTAGTGATGGCACCTCGCTTTGGCGTAGCCTTCCATCACCCTCGTTCGGTTGGTAAGTGTTGTTTTGGAAAGGCAAATTTGACTCGATATTATTAGGGACCTAGGATTTCTATGTTGGTTGATTTAAGTGAACTTAACTAATCATCGCAACATAATGAAAACCTAAACATGCATCTAACGAATAATTCACATGTATATAAGCATAAAATATAAAGCGAAATTATAGATGCATATTGGCAACTAGCATGACCCCTTGAATTCTTCAAATCTTCAAAAGGTCCTCATTTGCAATTCAAGGCTTTGTCTTCCAAGATACGCCGTCTTCAAGACTTAACCAAACTATGCAACTACTAGTGTCTAAGACTAGTAATAATCTAAATATTAAGGTACAAAAATACTTAACGGTGCGTAGACCGTATTTAGATTTACAAAAATACATAACGGCACGTAGTCCGTATTTTCTATCCTAATCGGGTCCCACTAGTTGCCATTTCATAAAACCTGTGAGAGAGAATATATATTTCATTCATCCATTCACTATTTGTGAATGGCCCATGCAATTTACAATATCAAACAAGTAAAATGCATTTAAACAACGCGCGCACTAGTAACTAATCTAGGTGGTTAATCCGATTAACACGCCTAATTAAAAACTAGTCAAAGTTGTTTAACCGATTATGTAATTGACGTCATTAATAATTGAAGCTCCCACTAAATTCCCCATTTCCCTTAATTAATCCAATTAATTAAGTCGGTAGCACCCAAACTTGTCAAAATAAAATTTTGCCAATGCCGCTCAAAACCGAGGCCTAGCCTCCCAAAATTTTAATTAAAATAAAAAAAATTAATTAAAATAAATAAAACGGAAAAATAAGCAATATTAAGCCAACCGCATTTCAAGTGGCTTTCGCTTTAAGCGTTTTGCTAAGGAAACTCGAATAATCGCGGCTCATGCAAACCAAGCATACTACGGCTATTCACCTCACCGCACCAAGCATATGCACACACAAAAAGTTCCGCACACACGGTCCGCGGCAAGCAGCCTTGAGCTGCTGCCACTGCCGCACGCACGCGCACGCACAGCCATGGCTGCTGCTGCGTGGCTGCTGTGGGCGTGTGCTGCTGCCGCGCATATGGCCGCACGCAAGGCGGGGCAGCCACCTTGGAAGCCACATGTGGGCTGCTATGCAGCCCGGCTAGCCAAGGGTGGTTCTTTGCCTCGTTTGCGTGTCATGGCCTCGGAATTTGATCCCATTTCGCGAGACATAATTAATTAATTCTAAATTAATTTTAGAACTAACTTAATGAGCAAAAATGAAAAAATTTTAAACAAGTCCAACTTAAATAAAATTTCAAAGTGCAAATAACTAAAATAATTCCAAGAATCATTCTTAAATAAATTGGTTTAGCTTGGTGCAATAACAAAGTTGAGGCAATTTCTCACTTTTCATGAAATTTAATGTTCAAATGAAAATTCCAACATCTAAATTTTGTGAATCCTTGAAAATTATATCTTCCAACATGAAGATAACCAAATTTCTATCACAAAAATTGAAACTTTATGTTTCCAATCAACTCTAAATGATTAAAACAACAAAGCTTAACACAAAATAACATGGAATTTAGTGGTTTTTAAAGTTTCAATCACTTATCACAAATAAAGATTGAATCTTTAACACTTAGGAAGCCTCAAAACAAAAAATTTCACACTAAAAAGCAATTAGTTTGCAATTATGTGAAAATAAATCAACCTTTAAGCATCAAATACTACCAAGTAAGTGTGCTTTAAGGGGACTTAAAAATGCAGAAAATAATGCAAATAATCAACCACATAATCAACAAGTTATGCCATTAATTTCAAGGTTAGAAAAGACTTAAAATTTTTCATCAAAAACGAAAAATCCCTCGAAAAAGGCATTTTGGTCAGAATTTGGCTAAAATCACAGGTTCGAAAGGGAAAAAACCTTTCCAGAACACCTTTTCCACCCAAAATTCACTATTTTTGTGCGAAAATTTGGGTTCTGGGCCAAATTCAACATTAAAAACGGGATTAAAATAAATAAAACCGAGCTACTAATCTAATTAGCAACTTAAACCAGAAAAATAAACCTTGAAAAACATGATTATAAAAATAAACGAGCGGGGCTCTGATACCGCTGTTGGTGTTTGGTGAGTCCGACTCACCGCGGAAACAACCCCGACCCAAGGAACCACTCGTAATTAATAAAACCATAAAGCATAAATAAATAAACACAAGAAAAGGAAGAATGAATCATACCCTTGAAGCGAGCTTCGCCCTCTCAAAACGGGCTCTTACTTGAAAGCCTTGAGCACCGCAAATGCCGTGCTTCCAACGGTATCCACCCACAAAGGACGAACACGAGTTTTTAGGTCCGCTACCTTGGAGTTAGCAAGGTCCGACCAAAACCCAAGTGTTAATGGAGTTTAAGAGTTTTTCCCAAAATATGGAATGCTCTTTCTAACTCCCACTCAAGCACTTTACTCCAAATCCCAAGGTTGATATTTATAGAGGAAAGTATGAGTGGGAATTTCTATCCCATCAATGTGGGATTCATGAAATTCCACAAATTAATTTAAAGCTAAATTAAATTAAATATATAAGCAATTAATAAATCAACAAGTGTCCTAGTCATATGTAAAGAGGAGTATGGACCACTTGGAGAGGAGGGGACCATACTTGCTCCCCACTCCTTCCTCTCCTTGTGACACTTGTCCACACCAAAAAACAAGCATACTTACTAGCTTCCCCTTTCTACCCGACCTAGGCCCACGGCCCAGCTAACCTCGCACCGTGCGGGCTACTAGCCGCAGCCAGCTCGGCCCAGCACGCCCACGCACATCAGTGCGGGCTGCTGATGCCGAGGGCGCTTCTAGCTAGCCACGCACATGTGCGGGCTGCTAGCAGTAGCGCACGCCAGCACGCCACACACTGCTTGCGGGCTGCTGGCCGTGCTGTGCTAGCATGCCTCGCACATGGTGCGGGCTGCTAGCCACGCCTTGCTAGCATGTGTCGCACATGGTGCGGGCTGCTAGCTCGATTAATCCCCTAGCACTCGGGATTCCGATGCTAGGGGTATTTTGGTCATTGTTGATTTATTACTAATTTGTCGTCTCGTCTTTTATTATTTTTGACTCGACTTCCGACGCTCGGTTTCGACGCTCTAAGCTTGAATTTTCACCGTCTAAATATTTAACACTCGGGCGACGAATTAATTTCTTCTGAATTAATTCATCGAGTCGGTTCGTATATTTTGCTTTGGTTTGACCCGAAGGGTTCAGTCAAGCTTAAGCTGTAATATTAATTATATTAATATTACAGATCGGAAGCGACCTCCACCCAGGCATTCCGATCACTTAACCTTACTGAATATATTAGCTTTCTAAGAATTCTGAACCCGCTATCAGAATAATACACTTGTTGAAGGACACCATTCCTTTTAGAGTACTACTTTCCTTTTCACCTTGAAAATTTAAACGATGAAAATACATAATTTGCAAAACCAGTAAACAACCACTAACATTTTGAGTAGTTTCATGATTCTTATACTTCTTAACAGCCTTCTTTAACTTTTTCAAAACATTTGAACACCAATCTAAAGCTTTGATTTCATCAACTTCTTCAACATCTTTCAGCAACTTCAATGAAACAGTCCGATTAGTAGTAGGAGCTAAAATGCTAGACATAGCATGAAGAACAAAACACCTCTTAAATTCTTCCCCTCCATCAACCAAATCAACCATCCAAGACTCCAATTTTGACAAATGAAGAGGTTGCTTATCCAAAAGACCATAATAAGATCTACATGTCTGAATGATACGTTTATGTACACTTTCATCTTCAGAATTTTTCTTAAGTTCAGGAACACAAAATCACTCATAGGCAAGCAAAAAACATCGCATATATCATTTCTAGTAACAACAAATTCTTTACCAGTAGCAATGGTAAACATGCAGCTACCACCATTGAAGTTTTCAACAAGCCAAGGTAACATTTCACGATTAACAGTTTTCAATTTCAAATGTAATAAACCACCAAAACCAACTTCTTCAACAGCCTGTTTTTGCTTAGAACTAAAGTTCTGCAACAAAAATTCCAAAGTATGTGGTCTACACCTTGCAATCAAGCGTCTTCGCTCCCTAAATAATAAAAATATAAAAAAAATAATTGAAACAATATAATCTAAAAATAAAATATAATTAAAAAATGCAAATAAAAAAACATGTATGCTTACACAAAAGTCTCAGAATCAGAATCAGAAAGCATTACAAAATTAGAATTATGCACTGTTTTGGCCTTCTTAGGTACAATTTTGGCCTTCTTAGGAATTATTTTGGCCTTGTCAGACTCTGGTTTGGCATTCTTAGAAACTATTATGGCCTTCTCAGGAACTGTCTTGGTCTTTTTAGGTATTTCTTTGCCCTTAGCAGGCTCTTTAGGCTTTGCTTTTCCCTTTGAAGGCAATTTATAACGATATCCACATATTGAACCACCTGTATCTAATTAAGAGAAATAACCAAATTGCAAATTCAGAAATTACTCATGGAAAAATTCAGAATAATGTGCATAAAGTGACCCTTGTAACTGCAATAAGTAATTTAACTGAAAAAATGACCATTTTAACTACATAAAGGTACCTTTTTAACAGCACAAAGTGACCCTTTTAACAACATAAAGTAACCTTTGTCATGCAAATATATGACACATATAGAACACAATCCATAAATGCACAAACAAAATGCGCATATGCCTGTTACTCAAAACACATCACAAAAAGTGACCCTTTTAAATGCATAAAGTGACCTTTTTAACCACAACAAGTAACCCTTTTAACTGAAAAAGTGATCCTTGTAACTGCATACAGTGACCCTTTTAACAACATAAAGTGACCTTTTTAACATCATAAAGTGACCATTAACAAGCATATAAATGACACATATGTATATTACTCAAACACAATGCACAAATGCACAAACACAATGCACATATGCATGTTACTCAAACATAGATGCACAAACATAATACACATATGCCTGCTATATTCATACTCTAACTAAAACATAAAACCTAAACCTAAAATCAATTTAATTAGCATTCTCTACTAAAAACCTAACATGAAAATTTTGAAGAATAATAAGCAATGATAAAAAATTCTGCAAACAAACATGCAAAATTTATTTAACATATAACAACACCACAACACATGTATAACAAATTTTTAACTAAGTGTATACAATGGACAATAAAATAAAGCAAAATTAAACATATTAATTTCAAATTTCAAATTCAATTATCATAATCTTCATGAAAAATCAAGTGAAAACTATAAAAATAACATGCAGTACTAATTCAACATATATAAGCGAAAATTCAATTGAAAATTTTGATAAAATAATGAAAAATTTAAGTAAACAACACACCTTCTTCAGAATCTGCAGACTTCTTTGTACTCTTCTTCTTCACCATAGCAGAATAAAACACTACGAAAATCGAAAACAAAAACAAAATAAAAAACCAAAAAATTGAAGAATCAAAACAACTTAAACTAACAAAAATCTCAATAAAAGTAAGTAAACGAACCTGAATTAAGCAAATAACAACTTCAAGTGAAAGAGAAGAGAGAAAAAGCTCAAAAATCGCCGATTGAGGAGAGAGAAAAAGCTCGAAATCGCCAGTTATACAGAGAGAAATCGCAGTTTAGAGAAAAACGAGGAGAGAGAAAGTAACTGGTGAATGAATGAGGAAGAGAGAGAAATCGCAGTTTAGAGAAAAAACGAGGAGAGAGAAAGTAACTGGTGAATGAATGAGGAAGAGAGAGAAAGTGATTCTATATTTTGGCAATAATAAATGCGATACGTGTGGGACATTAGCTTTGGCAGTTATTGGTTTCCAGAAGCTCGCCTACACCTTCACGCATCCAAAAACCAACACAACCCCAGCCACTTGAAACCACCTCTAGCCTATCGAATCTAACACATCCAAGCCCACACTAGCTACTTCGCAATTCCGCGATCCTCGCAGCAGCACCTTCCCTTTCTCTTAGCAGCACACATTCCCATGCCATCACCGCACCACCACCCTCTATCTATACCTCTTGACGCCACCAACAATAACACGAGCACACCCCATTAAGCAGCAAGTAGCAGCCATACTAACCATCATCCCAACCACAGTACACTAACAACCATAGCGCAACAATCAAATTTAAAAATTAATAATTGTAAATTCCTCTCACAAACTTCAAACTTCCCTAAATTAAACCACAATTGCACTAGTCACTGGAAGTAAAAGCCATCGCACCTGCATTAAATTCGCAATCGCAATCAATACATAAAAACACAATTACTTTAAACATTTTCGCATATACCTAACAATTGAAAAGGGGGGTTTGCACAAATTAAGCAAGATAAATATGGATTAAAGGAAAACTTACAATAATTGGAAGGAAATTCAACAGATTGGGGCTGAATTGGAGAAGAAATCGAGAAATTAGGTTTCTAGGGTTACAAAAAGGGGCTAAATTGGAGGAACTCGTGAAATTTGGGGGAAAATGGGTGAGAAAAGGGTCATTAAAGAGCACGTGCTACTCACGTGACTAAGTCAACGCCGGCGAAAAAAATCAACGACCAGATTCCGGTAATAAGTAGTCTTTTACAACATTTTTAAAAAAGAGGTAGTCATTTACAACAATTTTTTAAAAGGTAGTTTTTCACAAAAAGTTGTATATAAAAGGTATTTTTTCACAAAAAATCCTTACAAAAATTGTTACTCGTATATGTTAATTTTGGGCAAAAAAATTAAATGAAAATATAAAAAAGTTGTCACTTGTCTTCTCCTTGAAAAGAGTTTGTCACTGGACTCGTGTGCCGAGGTTGTCAATGACTTGGAAGAGGGAGAAGCCTCACCCCATGAGTCACCTTTCACATTGTGGTAAGCTAGCCCAAAATAGGAGAGAGTGTTGTGGGGAGGGTGTTGAGTCACCCATTGTGAGTGCTCTAATTTATTGAAAACTAAGGATGTGAGAGGGAATTTGACAAGAAGAAAAAGAATTGGACCATTGAAGATAATTTTATGGAATAATTGTACAATAATCACCTCTTAAATCACCCAAAAATTGATTTTACCACCCCTTTTTTTTTTATCTTTGTTTTAAATAACCATCTCTAAAAGTGAAAAACATTAGAAATCAACACCTTTTAACATTAGTCAAATCATGTTTTCGAGTATTTATAAGCTAATTTTTGATGGTTATTCTTCCTTCTTTAATGTACTTTCTTCACTTTTTGTCCTAATTGAATAAAAAATTGACTAAAAAAGTGGCGATTTTTAATATTTTACAGTTTTTAAAGTGGTTATTTTTTTTAAAAAAAATGGGGCTATAAAATCAATTTTGGGTGATTTAAGCAGTGGTTATTTACAATTTTCCTAATTTTATTCAATGGTCCAATTCTTTTGTAACATCACAAATTATTAGATTCCAAGGCCATTGAAGATTAAAATTCAGGTTGACCGTGAGATCAATTAGTGGGCACTTTTATAAGCAACACAAATGATAAAATAAAAAAAAATTGAAAAATAAAAAACAAGAAATGTGGGAATCTAATATATAATTGCAGAGTCACTTTTAATGCGAAGCCTCCAAAACCTCAATGCTAAACTCTCATACATTTGAGGGGTTTTTTTTTTTTTTTAATAAAAAAACACGACCAATCCCACTATTTTATTTTTTGTTTTTTTTTATCATTTTTTTTTTTAAAAAAATCAATAACTACCCATTCACTATTTCTTTTTGGTTTTTCTTTTGTTTTTTTTTTCAAGGGACTATTACTAACATTTTCACTTTCTGATTTTTTTTGGTACGTTGTATAACATATGACATGCATTAATACGAGTATACAGTTCTTTTATCAACAATTCACTATAGCACTCAAAATCCCCAACATTTCACTTTTATTTAAACACTACGTACTAACATTTCACTTTGTTTTACGAGTATTTTTTTTGGTACATAGTATAATATATGTCATGCATTAGTACGAGTATACAGTTTTTTTTATCGACAATTCACTATAGTACTCTAAATCTCCAACCCTTCAATTATATGCATTTTTTTTAGGGACTACCCTCCAAACATTTTCCACTTCTTTGATCATCAAAAACAAAAAAAAATGTACTACACGTTTTTGTGTAATTGGCCTAAGCGAATAACTACTTGGAACATAACAAAGTATGTAACTCCTAGAGCAAGACACTAACCCATATGACACTAACCGAGTAACACGAGTAACCTCTATAACATTGAACGGGTAACCTCTATAACTTTGAAAAAGTAAACCCCAAAATAGCATTGTGTGGCCACCGACATAAAAGAGTAAGATCCTGTTTTTTGAGCTTCTAAGCAAAGCATAGAATATTATATTTCAGCACAGCACATCACAGCAGATCTCAACACATTATTAATACGATTATTAATACTCAGTACAACAGAGCTAATTAGCGTTCAACAAAACCGACTAGTACAACTGAAGTCTAAATTATAACATCAAAATCAACTTTCCATATTTTAAATATTTTTTTTTTCTTATATATCCCGTACATTTTGCACGGGTACACCCAAGTTATCACCAAAAAATAAGAATGTTGATTAATAGAACAGTATATGTGGAGCAACAATAATACAGTGTCACTAATGTCTGTGCGTCGCTTTGCCCTGCTGATTGCTAGTTAATTCATTGATGTTCATCGGATTAGCGATCCGACGATCTGGAGAACTATATGCAGCTTCTGCTACTCCTCCATTTATAACATCAGTTGGATGAAATCCGTCGAAGAAAGCATACAAGTCTCGATTGGCGCATGGTGTACTATAAGGCTCACACTGGAAATCACTCCTCAATTTGCAACAAGTCGAGTTTGAATTAATACCTGCATTATTAAGCAATATGCTTTTGTACATTAGATATGTAGAAGTTACATTGTTTTAGTTAGGGGTGAAAGTTTGGTTTTCGGTTTAATTTATAGCCCAAACTGAAACCGAACCACTCTAATTCAGTTTTTGGAATTTTACAAACTACACCGTACCACTTTAGTATTGAAACCAAACCATATAAATTTCAGTTTTCAAAAAACAAACCGAATCACACGAAGCATATGGGCCTTGTTATTTGGGCCTTAATCTGCAATTTTTTGTGGGCTTTCAAACCATGTAAAAAAGGAAGATTATAGACACCGTCCAGCATTCATCTTCCTTTCTCCACATTTTAAGGTGAGAAATCTTTGCGTACAAAAATCTCCCTAGAAAAATCTAATTTCGCAAAATAACCTTCTTATCCCAATGATTATTCTTAATCAAACACAAAATTCCTCACATTAAATCAAATAGGTTGGTAGTAATTATCACTCTCGAAACTGAAAGTAGTGGCCAATTCTTTGAAGTTCAACGAGGGCTTTCATGGTCGTTGTTGCGATGATGTGTGGAGAAAAGTCGGCAGTGTAAGGCTAAGATCGGCGAGTAGAAGAGTAAGAGCTAGCTAGAGCTGTCAAAAATTGACTTGACCTGAGAATCCAACCTTAACCGATAATGATTTGAACCTGACGTGTATCCGAACAATTGTGGTGAAACGAGTGACCTATAACCCGACCTGAATCCAACCTGATGTTAACAACCAATCAATTTGATCCAATATTTTATGACCTGAACCCAAACCTACACCCAACCTTATGGTAACCGTCAACCGATTTAATCCTACCTGACAACAATTCAAACCCGAATCAGTACCCGACCCAATTAGAACCTGAAAATGGTTATAACCCAACACAACCAGTTATTGACCCGAGTCATAGAAGGTATAATGAAAAATTTTATATACTTTTTTTTCCAGCTTATATATTGGTACAATTATGTAAACCCTTAATCCTTAACAGCATATTGGTACAATTTGTTCGGCTGATATACTTTTTGTTCTCTTTTACTTCGCGTATAGGTTTAATAAAATTTTGATAATGCTTGATCAAATTTTTCTAGGTGTAACTATATATGTAGATTCAACTTGGCCACTAAACATCAATATTTATTCGAATTGAACTTGAACTAAAACAAAGAATGGTCCAACTTTAAGATTATCCGACCAAATCTGATCCAACACTAACCCGAACCCCAATGTATCATCTATTAACCCACCCAAACTCAACTCAACACAACCTGAACCTGAAATTGAACCTGACTTGAATTTTACTCAAATCGAACCTGACCTACACCCAAAAGGGTGAATGACCCGGAATAATCTGAATCAAAATTGACCCAACCCGAATCTAAACCTGATCTGAGGCTATATTGACCGACATAACCTGTTCCTGATTTAACCCGACCTGAACCCGACTTGAATACTTAAATTGACAACTATAGTAGGAGCTGAGAGTAGGAGAATGAGAGGCTGAGAGAGGATGGATGTAAGATTAGATTTTTTTTTTCTTCCTGTATATACTTAGGCTAAAATCAGAGTTGGGCTAGGGTAAATTTAGGGTTTGGGCCAAAATTTCAGTTTGGTTTTAATTTTTTTGGTTTTCAATTCATCAAACCGAAAACCAGCTCTTTTTTTTTTTTATTTTTTTATAAAACCAAACCGGACTACATTAGAAAAAAAATACCAAACCATAGTTCGGGTTTTCGGTTTGGTTTGATTTTAAACCGAATTAGTTTCACTCCTAGTTTTAGGGCCTGTTCCCATTGACTGAACTCAGCTGAACTGAACTGAACTGAACTGAACTGAACTGAGCTGAACTAAGCTTAACTTAACTTAACTTAACTTAACTTAACTGAACTTAACTTATTAATTAGTGATTTTTAACTACGGATTAGTGATCTTTGATTATTTATTGATTATTTATTACTATACATATGTGTATATACAAATGTACATATTATTATTAATATTATTATTATTATTATTATTAATTATTGATGATTATTATTATTATTTATTGATTATTATTATTAGTATTATTATTATTATTATTATTATTATTATTATTATTATTTATTGATGATTATTATTATTATTTATTGATTATTATTATTAGTATTATTATTTCAATTATTATTGTTATTATTATTATTATTATTATTATTATTATTATTATTATTATTATTATTATTATTGTTTAGGGTAATTTACCCTGCCACGTGGCCCAATCAGAAGGTGACACGTGTCAGCCCCAGATTGGTCTAAAATGGACCAATCCCTGCTCGACACGTGTCATTCCCGGAATTAAGGGAAAAGGCGGCCTTCAGGCCCAAATCCCGAGAATGTCGCCAAACGGCGCAGCCCACCAATGATTAGGGTTCAGTAACCTAATCAGGGGCACAATTCCCAAAGACCCTATAAATAGGGAGATGTCCCTTATTTTGAGGACACGTTTTACCATTTATTACACATTTTACTCTTTGATAGAGACATCCTAAGCTTGGAATCCGAGCAGATCCCCACCTAAATTTCCGCACCTTTTTTTCTCCCTTCAAGTTTCTAACTTGTGCGTCGGAGGCGGAGCACCACCCAACTGGTGTCTCCGTTTGTTTTGCAGGTACAGCTCACCCAGGATCAGTCTTCGTGTTGTAACTCTCCCGAGGGACAAAAACACCCAAAACAATTATTATTTATTGATTATTATTATTATTATTA